CACAGCACTGTTGCTTCCTTGAGGAAAAATCTGGAGATGTGCATCTCGTGAACACACATTTTTGTACTCACATCTGTGGAGGGATCCCATTATCAATCAAGATCTACATCGCCAATCACAAAAAGCTTTCTGTTTGGCTGTCTATTTCGAGAACGTTTTCATTAGAGTTTAAACCAATCAAAACCAAACAAATCTTTTGCAACTCAAAGGGTAAAGGGCTTTGTTACATTATGCTTGGAAATCTGAATCAGGAAGGATGTGAGAAAAGATTTAAAGAGATTAAAATTATGTAACACAGAGAGAGAAAATACATTCCAGAAAAACTCCCTGACAAAGATGCGGCTTGTCAGTCCTAACACAAATTCAGATTGAAGCATCCTTTAAAGCAGGTACATGCAAGGGATTTAGAGGCACTCAAGGACAGAGAGCAGATGAATTCTCCTTTCCTCATCATTCTTCTACCTTGCAGGGAGGGGGAGTAATTACTATATAGCATTATTTGCACTGATCCACACACACCCTTCCTAAATGTCAACTGAATAAACCAAGGAAGTATTTTACGGCCCTCTGCTATATTCTACATACACCCAAGCTGAAGAAAATACTACCAAACCCAAGAAATGCCCTTATACAGACATTGAACTTAACCATAATTAAATGCTACATAGTTAAGGATTAGCCCCAAATTGGGATGTGAAGCTATGGTTATGTGTTATATCAGCACTGAGCAAGCCACAGCTAAGGCAATTTTGTGTTCTCTCCAGACTCCTGCTTAAAAGGGGAGAAGCAGGTCATCCCCTTACACCATTTGGGGGGTAGGGTGGGGTTCAGCAAATTAAACCATGGGTTCACAACACATTTGAAATCTTAACCAAGGTTAGACAACAAGCCAGGCTAGTGCAAGGCAAACACAACCCTAGCTGATCATGATTACAAAATCAGAAGTATCCTATACATTTGCCCTCCGCTGTTGAATGTGAGTCTTTCTCCCTTCCATTTCTGGAGCAAGCTATGGTTAGTGTTACATGCAAACAGATTTTAACCCTAACCATTTTTAGCTCAGACCTGAATTTGCTAATCTGGTTCTAACAATGTCTCTAAACTGAAGAGCGGCAGCTAACCGTGGTTAATTCATGTATGCTAACCATGTTGATTCCCAAAAGATAAGTGGGGGAATTTGCAACCTTGATGGTAAGAGATAAGAGGGGAAAGGAATATTCAAATCTCAGGTGGGTTACTGATCTCCTAACCTCAGTCAGGAGAATATGCAGTATTGTGTCTGCACTGGCCAGCTATTATGGATGCCATCCCCGGTGAAGGGATATATATTTAAATTATTTATATTCCACATCTCAAAACAAAACTGATTCACAATGGAGCTAGCACAATAAAACACATACCTTAAAACAAAATACAGTGGTACCCCGCAAGACGAACGCCTCGCGAGACGAAAAACTCGCAAAACGAAAGGTTTTTTCGTTTTCGAGTTGCCTCGCAAGACGAATTTCCCTATGGGCTTGCTTCGCAAAACGAAGCTTGCCCCGGGGACAGCGAAGCCGGGCGGGGGGCGGGAACACCTGCCCCAGCCACCCCGCTTCCGAACGCTGCTCCGAAGCGGGGTGGGGGGGCGGGAACACCTGCCCCAGCCGCCGGGCTTCGTAGCGCTGCTGCGAAGCCGGGCGGGGGGCGGGAACACCTGCCCCAGCCACCCCGCTTCGGAACGCTGCTCCGAAGCGGGGTGGGGGGGCGGGAACACCTGCCCCAGCCACCCCGCTTCGGAACGCTGCTCCGAAGCGGGGTGGGGGGGCGGGAACACCTGCCCCAGCCACCCCGCTTCGGAACGCTGCTCCGAAGCGGGGTGGGGGGGCGGGAACACTTGCCCCAGCCGCCGGGCTTCGTAGCGCTGCTGCGAAGCCGGGCGGGGGCGGGAACACCTGCCCCAGCCACCCCGCTTCGGAACGCTGCTCCGAAGCGGGGTGGGGGGGCGGGAACACCTGCCCCAGCCGCCGGGCTTCGTAGCGCTGCTGCGAAGCCGGGCGGGGGGGGCGGGAACACCTTCTGAAGGCGGGCGGGGGGCGAAAGTCTTTGTCCCCCCTGCCTGCCTTCCCAGGGGCTTTTAAATCGCCCCGGACAGCGGAGAAGTCCTCCGCTGTCCGGGGCGCTTTTAAAATGCCGCCCGCCAGCATTTTAAGATCGCCCCGGACAGCGGAGAAGTCCTCCGCTGTCCCAGGGTTTTTTAAAATGCTGGGGGTGGGAAGAAAAGCCCTTGTCCCCCCCCCCCAGCCTTCAGAGGAGGTCCGGGGACAGTCTGTCCCCGGACCTGGTCTGAAGGCGGTTTCCCTAGGAACGCATTAATTGATTTTCAATGCATTCCTATGGGAAACCGTGCATCGCAAGACGAAAAAACCGCAAGACGAAGAGACTTGCGGAACGAATTAATTTCGTCTTGCGAGGCACCACTGTACGATGCAGTGAAAACATCAGCAATACTGATTCTCAATAAAAACTGAGGGGAGCAGTACTGATTTCAATCTCTTTCTAACATAGAGTGGGAATTGTGAAGGAATGAATTGTGTCCCGGAAGAGCAGCTTCACAACTGGAAAGGCCTTGCTCCTTATTGCCGCGCATCTTGCTTCAAAATGTGGGGACACAGAGCAGGGCCTCAGGCAAGAATCTTATGAGGTGAGCAGATTCAGGTGGGAGCTGGTGATTTTTCAGGTAAAGGTAAAGGTACCCCTGCCCATACGGGCCAGTCTTGACAGACTCTGGGGTTGTGCGCCCATCTCACTTAAGAGGCCGGGGGCCAGCGCTGTCCGCAGACACTTCCGGGTCACGTGGCCAGCGTGACAAAGCTGCATCTGGCGAGCCAGCGCAGCACACGGAAACGCCGTTTACCTTCCCGCCAGTAAGCGGTCCCTATTTATCTACTTGCACCTGGTGGTGCTTTCGAACTGCTAGGTTGGCAGGCGCTGGGACCGAGCAACGGGAGCGCACCCCGCCGCGGGGATTCGAACCGCCAACCTTTCAATCGGCAAGCCCTAGGCGCTGAGGCTTTTACCCACAGCGCCACCCATGTCCCTGATCTTTCAGGTACTATTGTTCTAAGACATTTAAGGCTTTAAATGGCAAAATGGAAATTCTGAAGTCTGCTTGTAAACTAACTGGCAGTCAGCTTAGTTTGTAAAGAAATGTTTCCTAGGGCATGAGGCAGTTGGCAAACAAGGTTTTGCATTTCACACCAGTTGTAGTTTCTAGATACGTGTTCGAAAGCAACATCACGTGGAGCACAATGCAGTAATGCAATCTAGATTCTTTAAGGGCATGAATAACTGAGTACAGGTCATGTTTTTTCCAGGATTGGCCACAGCTGCTGAATCAGCCAAAGCTGCTGAACGAAGTGCCAGAGGCCACAAAAGATAACTTGATCATCCAGATTTAAAAGCACTTCCAAGATGAGAACATGATCCTTTGGGAGGGAGGGCAAACCCCTCCCCATGTAGAAGAGGTTGAATCTGATTTCCTTGCTCAAGTGTATCATTAATCAGCCATACTTTGGTCTTATCTGGACTGAACCTCAATTTACCAGTCATTAGCCATCCCATTCAGAATCTATTTAGGACCTTGGCAATGTCACCTGAAGCAGATGGGGAGGTACAGCTATACATCATCACCTTACTGATGACGTTTCACCCCAAAACTCCAGATTTCTCAGGTTTAGTGTGTTTTAAAAGCATAAGGTTGGAGTGTGGGAAAATGATTGCTTGTACATGAGAGCATGAGCAAAGTTCTTATTGTTACAGGGTGATTTCATAGCTAGAAGCATCCTTGGAGCATGAACAGCGCGTGAACAGCTCGTGCTGTCCTATATGATTGGCTAACGTAGCATGGCCTGATCGCTCGCATAGTCTAGTGCGAAGGTTCTTATCTGCTTGCTAGAACAAATTGCTTAGCTTATATTTTTTGTATCTTTCTATTTCACACAATAAAAGCTGTGCTGCATTAGCCCTAGAGCAGCCATATTTCGGAACCTATTATGGTGTGAGACTGATTTTCCTCTGAATGCCGAGCTGCAACTCGACATTGGAGGAATGGGATCCTGCAAAATTCTGCAGAATAAAGGCCAAGGAGTCAAGCAGATCTCCCAAGCAAGTTACCCAGGAACCAAAGGACATGATGCCAGCACCAGACCAAAGGTGCCTGCGAAGAAGCTTTTTAGTATGGATCTGACCTTTGGATTTCAAAGGAGATCTCCCTGTAACTCCCTGAGCTCATCTGCTTAACGCAGCAGAGCTGAAGGACTATTGCAAAAGTAAGGTAAACGTAAAGAGACCCTGACCATTAGGTCCAGTCGTGGCCGACTCTGGGGTTGCGACGCTCATCTCGCTTTACTGGCCAAGGGAGCCAGCATACAGCTTCTGGGTCATGTGGCCATCATGACTAAGCTGCTTCTGGAGAACCAGAGCAGCGCACGGAAACGCCGTTTACCTTCATGCTGGAGCAGTACCTATTTATCTACTTGCACTTTGATGTGCTTTTGAACTGCTAGGTTGGCAGGAGCAGGGACCGAACAACGGGAGCTCACCCCGTTGCAGGGATTTGAACTGCCGACCTTCTGATCGGCAAGTCCTAGGCTCTGTGGTTTAACCCACAGCGCCACCTGCGTCCCTATTGCAAAAGTAGATCTGCTCAAAATGCACACAAATTCAGTGCCCCAATGTAGGTCTTCTTTATTCTTATTCACGTTCAACCCGTTTTGAATTTCTTTACAATAAATTTTAAGTTTGATTCCCAAATCCCCACCTGGTTTGCTGACCGTTTTCTCACTTTCCTAGCTCTAAATACTATCCTCTTTTTGAAATAATTTCTTTTTTTTTTTTTTTAGTATTTCAAAATTCCTTTACCTGAGCTTCAGCAATGTAAAAGCCACTTGATGAAGCCCTCCCCTCCCCTTACTTTCCAGAGGCTTTCATCGTCCTTCTGCAGCAGTTGCTGTGCTTACCTTGCGGACGTGAGACGAGAAGAGAACATTCATGAACTTGTCTTTTCGTTTCAACTCATTGGCAATGGGGACGAATGAGCCTGCAGCCTGAGGGTTATCTGGATTCTAAAGGAGCAAACAGGAAGACAGGCAGGTAATTTGTGTTCATCATTAAAGCAAGGGCAGCAGCATCTTTACCATTCCAGGTCAGCCAGCTATAGAAGTCTCAAATATACATTTGTAACAACACCGCAATTGGTATCTTACAACACAAAGACAGCATTCCAAGCCCAGCACCTCCTTGATTCCAAAGGTTGCAGTTCTTAAACAGAGACTATGTTAGAGCAGGATATGTTAGAACTGCTCAGGTAAGAGATGGCCACCAGTCTTTTAATTATGGAGTTGAATTTCCTGAAAGATGGGAGTGAGTGGGCATTTTAAGGAGGCATACAAGTTTGTTCTGTCCTGCATTCTGTTTGTTTTTCATACAATAGATTGCAGAACCCAATGCATACATGGGGCCTTCTTTTCAAGCATGGTCACAGAACACAGAAGAGCAGCACTACTGGACTAAGCACAAATGTCTTTCTAGACTAGAAGGACATTTGTGCTAATCCAACACCCTTGTTTCCAAACAGAAGCTCCTGGAAAGCCCCAAGGAAGGGAACTGCGCTCTCCCACTATTTTTCTCCAGCCAATAGTATGAAGTGGTACCTCGGGTTACAGACGCTTCAGGTTACAGCCACTTCAGGTTACAGACTCCGCTAACCCAGAAATAGTACCTCGGGTTAAGAACTTTGCTTCAGGATGAGAACAGAAATGGTGCTCTGGCGGCGTGGCAGCAGCGGGAGGCCCCATTAGCTAAAGTGGTGCTTTTTATCTTTGTGGTATCATAGAACGCAATGACTGACATTTTGTGTGTTCTACTATACTTACCAATGCAATGTAGTTGCCCTGCCAGGCTCTTTGGATCCCCATATCACTTCGGTGGCCCTTCAGCACTTCCACTGCTGCCACCTTTGCCCTGATCTGAGCTACATCCTTGGGAGGAATGCTCTTGATGAGTTCGTGCGCCCTCCACCTGGGAAAAAACAAACAAACCAGAAGCAATTGCACATCAGACTAGCATAGGGATTGGAATATATACTTGTCCAATTAAATAGTTATCAGCATTTTCATACAAACAATTCTGCAATCCCACTCACCAATTGATTGGCATAACTAAAAATAATCACAGGCTGGCTTTATTCTGTGGCCGCCACATCCTTAAATGGTGCTTGCAACTTTCTCAAATACAAAACAGTTGTAACTTGGTTTTCGAACAGAATGCATTCGGCTCCCAGAACCGTTCGAAAATCAAGGCACAGCTTCCAATTGGAGCTTCCTGCAGCCAATTGGAAGCCGTGCCGGACATCCGGCTTCCAAAAAACATTCGAAAAAGGGAACAATCACTTCTGGGTTTTGATCGTTCAGAAGCCAAAACATTCAGGTTGCAAGGCGTTTGGCTTTCGAGGTTAAACTGTACCTGGCAGTATCAGGTAATGTTCCTGCTCCGTAGCCCAAGAAACAAACTGCCTTCGATTCCTACCTGTGATAGATTGCCTGCAGAGCCTCTTCAAACCGCCGCAGCACTTTGGGTGGGGTGGGCCATCTCACATGCTTGCCGTAGCCTTTCATAGACTTCACGTTGTGAAATCGCCGGGCAACCTCGCAGATATACGACTTCACTTTGTATCGGCGGTAGCACTTTATGATCTTGAGGGCAGCTCGGGTTCTCTTGTAGCGCAGGCGAGCCAGTGTGCCCCTCCAAACCTATAGAAGCCCCCGCCAAAAAGTTAGGACAATAGAAATAGGGGGGGGAGATGAATAGTTTCCTTCTTCCTACTCAATATTTCATGTATCGCTACAAAGTAATAGTGCAAATGGAGCATGCCTTTCACAATACAGTGGTACCTTGGTTGTTGAACGTAATCCGTTCTGGAAGACCGTTTGACTTCCAAAATGTTCAACAACCGAGGCGCAAAGGGCTGAGCTGCAAAGTTAATGGAGAAAATTGAAAAACCCCGCAGTGGAAGGCATTCGACTTCTGAGGCACGTTCAAAAATGGAAGCAATTACCATGGTACCTTGGTTCTCGAACGGCTTAGTTATCGAACAAATCAGCTCCCGAACACCGCAAACCCGGAAATAAGTGTTCCAGTTTGCAAATGTTTTTTGGAAGCCAAATGTCCGACGCGACTTCTGCTTGAGTGCAGAAAGCTCCTGCAGCCAATCAGAAGCCGCACCTTGGATTTTGAATGGTTTCGGGGAGTCGAACAGACTCCCAGAACGGATTAAGTTCAAGAACCAAGGTACCACTGTACTACGGGCTTTTGGCATTTGAAAATCGAAATGTTTGGCTTCTGAGACACTCGAAAACCGAGGTACCACTGTATACTTGAGTATACATGCCAAACAGCACCTGCCACTCACCCCACCAGCCACAAAATGAAGCACTGTGCAAGAAGCCTTGTATACTTCATATTAAATAAATAGTCCATATCCTGTACCAAGAAGCCTGATTTACACAAGCTGTGTGAATTATGCAAAAACAATCACATCTGCATAGTTTATTCTGCTTCGGCTAGGCATGGAGAGGGACAAAATGCTCTTCAGGACATTGAAGAGCTGCCGCTTGGAAGTCCCTTAGGACCCACCCTACTCCTCTGATGATAAATCATTTTAACTGAATTTAATATTGCATTTTCAACATTGCCGCCACCTGCCCCGGGACACAATGTTGAAGGGTGGGGAAGAAAGCTAATAAATAGTAACAATACAGAGTTCTACTGCCAGTGCTCCCTTGTCATGCCACGCTGCAGAGTTAATTGATTGCGTGGAGACAGAGTTAGAGAAGTGCCAACCCAATTCTCCCTCTTTCATTATTTATATTGTGCCACTGCCAGACATGGCCCTTGATGAAGTAGCGTACCAAAAGACAGGCTACTGCTCCAAGCATCTTTCTATCTAATTCCCAATAGGGAAGGAGAGGTAAAGGTGACGGAGTAAACAGACAAGTGAAGGTAAGTGGACTCAGGCTTAAATTTGTTTGGGGATCACGGAATCATAGAACTGTAGAGTTGGAAGGGATCCCCAAGGGTGATCCAGTCCATCCTCCTGCTATGCAGGAATCTCAACTGGATCTAGGGATGAGGACTAAGGGATCTATAGACACTGCCGCTTAAAAACACAACTATATAAACCGGAGAATTATGTAATACAGTGAGGTCAACTGAGCCCAGTCTCCTAAGTATAGCTATTCTGCTGTTACATTTATTTACAGCAGGGGTGGGTAACCTGTAGCACTCGGCCGAATTTCAAATGCTCAGGTCAGCAGCAATAAGCCCCTTCCCCAGTAGTCCTCTGGGCAGGGAAGAAAAAGTGAAGAAGGAGGGGGGAAATGGGTGGCCCTCCCCACACTGAGCCTTGGCTCCACCCACTGCATGAAGCCAGGGCAAATTGCCCATGAGCAAAATGTTGCCTAGATCAGGGTTTCCCAAACTTGGGTCTCCAGCTGTTTTTGGTCTACAGGTTTCATCATCCCTGATCACTGGTCCTGCTAGCTAGGGATGATGGGAATTGTAGTCCAACAGAGAGCCAAGTTTGGGGAACCCTGCCCTAGACAGGATAAAGGTTGCCCAGATTTATGATTCAAGTTACTGCAAGGAAGGATGAAGGGTAGCTCAATTCTCCCCTTGTGGACAGGACAACATTCTTAATTGCATTATGTAAAACAAGGGAACAAGAGTCTCTTATGTCAAATACCCAAGCAAAAAATGAAGACCTAGGGCTTTGACAGGAGGAATAGGCATTATTGCTCCATGCATCTTCCACATCCTCAGTGTTTGGGAGAGCTGCTTTCATGTGGACCTCATTGCTACACTCAAAGGAAGGAATATCACCAGGGGTCGTGTTGACCATGAGCAATGCTTCCGTTTCCTAAGGAACAAGTGAAGCAAAAATGGATGCCTTGCTGCCCACTGAAGAGCTCCTCTATGTCATAATAGACCAGAGAAACAGCTAACGAACTACAGTCAAACCTCGGATCCTGAATGCCTCCATTTTGGAATGTTTCGGCTCCCGAATGCCGAAAACCCGGAAAGAAATGCTCCGGTTTTTGAACATTTTTCGGAAGCCGAACATCTGACGCAGCTTCCACTTGAGTGCAGGAAGCTCCTGCAACCAATTGGAAGCCGCACCTTTGGTTGTTGAACTTTTCAGAAGCCAAATGTGCTTCCAGAACAGATTGCGTTCAACAACCAAGGTTTGACTGTATTGTTTTATAGAGGAAAGAACAGCAGGACAGGGACAAACCAAAAGCAAGCATTTAGGATTGGGGCTCCCTGTCTTCTATTCATGATCTCTTTTAAATTTATATTTCTTCTGCCCCCTTTTGGGGGGGGTGAAACTCTGAAGGGTGCCAATAAAGTTTGCCTGCCTGTCTCAGGCAGGGAGATGGTGTGTGAATTTGTGGGTGGCTGATGTCCTTCAGCAAGCAGCTTTTTCATCCCTATCTTTAAAGGTCAGAGGGTGGGACCTAATGCTATTAGCAATGCCTTCTTATCTACTAAGGGAGAAAGGTGGGTTTGGCAGAGGGATCTGAAGGAGAGGGGCTGCAGCACTGTGCAGGTGTTTTGAAAGGGATTGTTTCAGTTGCAGAGGGCGGCGAGGCAGAAGGGGATGAAGGCAGTTCCTCATGCTTGAGTGGAGAACCCTCTGGAGTCCAATAAATATAAATAATACAACACTAAACACACATTGGCAAATTCAGTGGTCATTTCTCATGATCTGGCGAAAAGATCATTTCCTTTGCTTGGGAGAACATTCCACAGTGAAGAATTTCCTAACTGCAGTTCCTCTACCCTATGGATGTCAAATGGCTGAGATGGCAAATGTGGATGTCAAATTCTCACCATGCAGCTCGTATTACATTTCAACCATATTAGATGAAGCGTTCTCAAGCAACTCTACAATGGTTACACTCTGTTTCAAATTGCCTGGTGCTGCATTAGAGCAATACTCGTCTCTCTTTGAGTTCAACAGAAAAGGGTTTTTTGTTTTGTCTCTCCTGTTGGTGAACCGACAGCCCTGCAATTCACTGAGGGGCTGACTGGGGAAATTGATTCAGCTCCTGAGTTGGTATCTTATGGATCCATACAGATGTGCATCAGTACTTTCATTTACAGTAGGATTAATTAATTACCCAAGGCAATTTAGCACCACAGCTATTTGTTTTACGAAGCTTGTGTCAAGTGGAGGTCCTTCCTGCATGCCTCACTAAACCATAGATTACGTCAAGCTAGGAATGATGAAACTAGGGACAAACAGATGGGGAGAGAAAATATTTGCTGCAGAGTCCTAACAAAGAATTAATAAGCAAGCCTCACTGATTCTGAACTGGGAGAAGATCATGCAATCCGTTTTGGAACATATCCAGCCCTTTAATTCTACCCACCTCCAGAAAACTCAAGACGAGAGCCAACACTACTCAGTATGTGTGAATCATTGTAACGCTGTTTTAAGACCATTATGTTTTTGTGGATAGCATCCTATCCCAGAGGTTTTCAACCTTTTGGAGTCCACATTCTTTCTGCAGCACCCCTGTGGGGCTCAGGAGCCGTTATGTCACCCCTTGCCTGCAGAGCTGGCAGCCTCTTACCCTTTTTTGAATACCCTCGTGGAGGCTTCCCTACGCCTCCTCTCCTCTCCCCTCTCCTTGGGAGTCCTCCAGGCAGCCACTACTGCCGCCCCACACACTGCCCCACAGGGGTCTAGGAAGAGGATGCCTGCAGCCTTAGTGGCCCAATGGAGACTGACCAAAGGTGAACGTGAGGCCAGAACCTTTCACCGGAAAGAGGGACAGAGGCAAGTGGTTGCCCATGGCATCCCTGACCATCATTCCAGGCACCCCAGGGTGCTACAGCACACTGGCTGAAAACCACTGTCCTACCCTATTCCAGAGACTTGGGGTCTCAAAATAAGTTAATGAAAAACAGCAAAGTATCGAGTTTAAATGAAGAAACACTTGTGAACAATTGACCATAGCTATCATATTCTTATCAAAGAGATCGGTTTTTAAACTCTGCTCCTGAAATACGCTCAGGTTAAGGCACTGGTGAACCTTCATGGGAAAAGAGTTCTGTCAACCTAGAGCAGCTAGGATAGACCGTATTTTTCGCTCTATAAGACGCACTTTTTCTCTCCTAAAAAGTAAGGGGGGAAGTGTGTGCATCTTATAGAGCGAATGCAGACTGCGCAGCTATCCCAGAAGCCAGAATAGCAAGAGGGATCGCTGCGCAGTGCTCCCTCTTGCTGTTCTGGCTTCTGGGATTCAGAATATTTTTTTTCTTGTTTTCCTCCTCCAAAAATTAGGCGTGTCTTGTGGTCTGGTGCGTCTTATAGAGCGAAAAATACGGTACCTTCCTACATGCCATAACAACAAATCATCAATCTTGCTTCAACCCCGAAAACTGAGCCAAGGGGAAACCCTGCTCCGTTGAGTTTAAATCCATCCTTCCACCTGCGGTCAGACTAAATGCTAGATTTTCTAACCAACCTATTGAGCGACCGTGCATTAATGCTACACCCGCACACATATTTCCACTCCTTATTTGGAACAACAACTGGTCAAAGAGAATGTAAGTAGGATATTGCATTGGTGTATGCATCACCACATAAGCTTGTTGCTGTTATCCCACAAAGGTATCTCCTTTCAGCATGCTACTTTTGCTGCTCATCTCTTCTGCTACGTTATGAGATAAACTGAGTTCTTTT